TAGTCCAGCTTTAACATGCAGTGTTCCAGGGAAGACTAGGATATGTTAAGCTGGACACGGGTACGCGCAAGTTTGATAAAGGGTATCAGAAAAGATTGAAAACTCTGGCATTAGAAAATGGATCTAACATTCAGATCTGTGGAGTATTATAAATACATCTCCAAATGTAATCATTAACCTCAGAGGTCTGAAGATGATACAAGCCCCAGGACAAAAAGCAAAGCACACACAGAGGACCTGGCATGAGCTCCCAACCCCACCACTAATCAGCAGAGAACCCCAGGACATGTCATTTAACTTCTGTAAGTCCTTGCCCTCCCAAATTGTAAAATCAAGGTACTAATGCTCCTATAAGTTGTGAAGTGTAAACCAGATATTGCGTGCAAGAGGCTGAGCATGGTGTCTGACACATAGCACTTGTTAAATAAATTTGAACTACACAATTACTTTATACCACAATACAACATAAATGCATATGTTGTTATTTGGGGGCCAAAACCCTCTAAACAAGACAAAAAACTTTTTAAAACAGAAACTAATAAAATTATAAAAGTTCCAAGGCAAAATTAAACCACAGCATTACTAAGTTGCATTAAATAACCACTATCAATAAAATGAGTATGTGAAACATGAAATATTTTTAGGTGGTTTAGATTTTTAAAGACGTCACATTACACCTTTCACTATTTAGTTCCACGCTGGTGATACCCATCACACATATCACACAAAATTCCAGCTTTGAAATGCATTTATTTTTTGATTATTGGAATTCATCTTTCATGAAATTTTTATCAAGTAGTGTATTTTAAATTACACTTGAGAGCATAGCTGCAATCCAATAGCAATACATACAAGTGGTTTTCCATTTAAATTTACAAAAGCATTATTTATTAGTAACAAAAATATAGAAGGGGTTCAGTTTTCCTTTGAATCCAAAGTTTTAATTTTAGAAGACATTTACCAACATCCTACTATGGATATTTCAAGAGTGAGAAGAAAAGGGAGCACTACCTAATAAAGATTATTACAGCCAAACCATCCAGTTACCCAGGAGTTTGGTGATTGGGTATTTCAGAGTCCACTGTGGTTTTAAATATTTCCTATTAGCAAATAAATTCACTTGTGTGATACATTTACATATTGTATAGGTGAAAACCTAAAGAGTGACAAAGTACACATGAAATTCATATCTAATAGTTAAAACTGAATAAATCTACTTGTTCATTAGATAGGTGCCATGTGAGACAAGCTTTCACCCCATCAGTTCATTTTGTTTTCAAAGAAACAGACACACTACTGATACAGTAATGGGAACATTTCAGCAGTTTACCAGTAACTATTTCAAAGGTTTTGAAAAGGATGCTAACAATAAGATCTTACATTAAGAGAGTACAGCACTGTAAGTTAGGACTTTAGGTTCTAAGGCCAACTCCTCATTCTAGGATACTCAGAAAAGGTCTCAGTTCCTAAGTCACAGGTACAATGCAGTACATGTTGCTGAGAGTTGTAAGCACTACACTGCCAACTTCGGAAACAACCATCTAACTTCACTCCACAAGGAGGGAAGTCATTCATGCTCTTTTTGGTAGTGTTAGCTTAACCTTATTTTGAAAAAATACACGTGTGCTGTCAACTTTGGGCAGATAAAAAACCATTTAACCTGGTTTCACTTAACTAT